GGCGCTGGGGGCGAAGCGCGCCGCCGCGGGGCCCGGCGCACGCTCCACAGGTGGCCCCGGGGGTCACTTGTGGTTTACGCTGCAGCCGTTTCCCCCACCCCCAGTAGAAACTTGGGTGGATGACTAACTCAGGAGGGGGAGGGCGCAGAGCAGGAGCTGCCGTGCTCCGTGGCGAAGGTTCCCTGCTCGCCGCGCCTTCCGCCTCGCCCTAGACCCCGGGGCTGCGCGCTGGGGTGGGGTTCAGGTGCACCTGCGTCTCTTGGTGTCCCCGGGTGTGGAGGGCCTAGGGTGTGTGGAGAACGTTAAGGGGTCTGGATGGTCGGATCTCAGCGGCGAGGTCGTTCCTTAGGGAGATACTTCAAAAGAGTTTGCCCGAAGTTTAGCTACTCGTGCAGTCTGCTTCCTGAAGTTGGGTTTTCGCCGTTTGGGCTTCTGTTGGGGGTCAGGGATGAAGGGGGAGGTGACTGGTGGGTAATGAGGAAGGGGATCCCTATCTGTCTAAACCAACGCCTGCCAAACTTGGCCCTGCTAGGCCGCGGGGCACCTCAAGGCTGACTAGGCTCTAAATTTTTCCTTTCCGGAGCCCAAGATCCCGACCTGACCGCGGGAGCATTTGTCTGGGGCTCTCCTTCCAACTTCCAGACATTTTTCCTATGGGAATCAGGGCGATTCTAGACAGTTTGGTGAGGGTAGCAGCCTCTCCCCTATCTCCGATTTCATAATCCAAACCACGGGGCCCTGTCTTTGCCCCAGCCTAGTGAGGCCTGGTTAAGGTGAGATTCTGTGTGCCCCAAAACCTGAGGGGCAATTCTAATCAAACACCCCGACCTCTCCAAAGAAAAGTCAAAGTCCTGTTCCTCCTGGGGTGACTTATCTCTCTAGTTTCAGATTTAGGCCATTAAACACAAAGTTCAGAGAAGTCCCCCCTGTTCACTACATTCCCTGGAGCTGGAGAGAGGAAGGCGTTTTACATTTCGAATTTTTTACCTTGTACTATATTACTTTTTACTAAGAGTGAGCTCTTTTATACTCTGCGGCCAGTTAAACCTCACTCAATGCAATTTCATTCCCAAGGTTAGACTAACTTTGTGGTTTAAGGATGCAAATTTCACACCAAACACAAATTCATACCTTTTCTTCCTCACCCCTGTGGTCTCAAGGCACTTCCTAACTCTCTTCTCTGGGGATTGAAGATTGGGGGAGTCCTTTGGCAGTGCTCTTTGGGGTTTTCTCCTTAAATCCTGGCAAACTTTGTGGCAGAATTCCCAGGTGGTGGAAAGGCACCCGCAGCACAGATTTGGCCAGGGACTGGGCCTCCAGTGGGTCCAGCTAAGGCGTGAAAGCAGCGAAACAGTGGCCTGAAGGTGGAAGGAGGGAGCTGCAGGCCTGGCCTCTGAGGGCTCACAGTTTGGCAAGTGGCTGGAGGCCTGGATCTCAGGTGGAGCAAGTGGCTTTGAGGCCCGGAGGGGCCGGATACGCTGGGCTCGGCCCGTTGGGCTCCTGGGTCCCACTAGGCGGTGACAACTGGAGAAAATAGGGCCATTCTGGCCCCTGGTTCTTTGTTTCTCTCGGTGTCTCTGTCTTTCACACATGAACTCAGTCTTCCTCTTGCCCCATGCCCTCTCCTCACCCCCACATCAGGTCTGAATATCCTACCCCTAAACCCAGGCCTGGCGCTGCTGCCCCAGGGTTTCAGCAGGGCCGGAGCATTGACATGCAGTGAAGTGACTTGTCCTGGTAATGACGCTCACACAGACACTCACACAAGCATGGCTTGACTGGCTCCAGGAGCAACCCGAGCACTCTCCTGTGTCTTTCATCAGCGCCCACGCCACGGGCGGTGGCACGGACGCCGAAGGCCCCAATCTACACCTCGATGGCACCCTCCGTGGGAAAACAACATTTTAGTAGTCCTGGCGGGTACGGAGCCGGAGATCTGGCAGGTGTGAGGCAGCAGGAACCCAGGGAGGTAGGGGTGCAGGTTGCATTGGAGAGGATGAAGAGCTTTAAATGCCCCCCCTCCAGCCCACAAACAAGACAGAAAGCGAAACTTAAACTTAAGTTTCCTTAAGCACACTGTGGTGATGTCTGTAGGGTGTAAAAACCCATGCTCTCAGGGCTAGGATTTGGCCTACAGGTCATACTCTTGCCTGCGGTCGCCGCTGGGACAGTATTGGTGCTCCTGGTGGCCCAGCTCCTGACTTCAAGCCACTGCGCTGGACTTCGGGCCCCGGAGCTACCCCTCAGGGTCTAGCCCTGGAAGTTGACCATTTTCTGGGTGGAATGTTGCACTAAGCCTCCAGCCGGGTTCAGCCAGGAAACTGCTCGAGTTCAGGTGGGGAAAGGGAGTGTAAGAGAGTGATCAGAGATCAGGGAGGGTATCCCTTTGGCTCTGAATTCCCTTGTAAGCTCTAGCCTTCTCCCTAGTTTTTTTGTTGGGATCTCTGGCCTACTCTGCTTGGCTTGGGAGAGTCGGCTGAGGTCTTCTGGAGAAAGGATTGCTCTTCTGCAGCTTTAGGTGGGGTGAAGGGTTCCTGCCTCCTCTGGCTTTCCGTCCACCTGTTAGGGAATGCTCAGATTTGCAACAGCTTCCACCCTCTTGCTGGGACGAACTGTGAAAACCTGAGAGGCCTGGAAATTTGCAAGAAACAGGCCTAGATGAATCAGGTCCTTACCAGAGCAACTCTAAGGTGAGACCTACTGTTATTGGGGGTTTGCTGCCTTTAACGGTGAGAAAGACAGACGGAAAATTTTTTTGGAAAACAAATGAGGACGCTCAGCCAGAGCAATTAATTACTCTGTATTTCTAAGTATCACATTAGGTCTCTCTTTTTTTCTTTCTTACTTAAAAGGAAATCACTAAAACAAGGGGGGAAAGCTCTGGTGGATGGAGCACGCCCCTGTGTGGAGCCCAAGAGCCTGGACCGGCCAACCCAGTTGAGGGGGTGGCTCCCGGGCCTCCAGGTCGCGCCTCAGCCGGGCACTGTGCCGCCAGTGTGCAGCCTTAGTAACATCACCAAATCATGAAGGAACTCTTCCTGCTTTAATTAAAAAGGGGAATCTTGGGAAAACTGGAGCAGATTAGCACAGCGAAGAGTTGGTTTCCAGTGATTTATTTTGATGCTTGCATGACATGGTATCTAGACTTGCAGGCGCACACATGTCTGTATTTCGGCTCAACTCCAGAAACGACTGTGCGTCTCCATAGGAGTTCTGTATTCTTGTCCACGTCGCACCTAGGCAACCTTAGCCCGAACACCAAGTTGAATTATCGGTTGGCCCTAGCTTCATATAAACGGGAGGAAAATCATTTCTCCTCTGGAGCTGTCAAGTAACCTCTTCAGGGTGCAACTTTCATTTTACACGCTGCAATTACGGGATCGCAAACCCCAGCCGAGCGACCGGAGCCGTTGGCAGAGTCTCCAACCTGGGGAAAAGCTCAAAGCCAATAAAAAACTCCCAAGGCGCTGCGGCCCGAGGGGGTGGCTGCCGCGAGCGGAGGCGATTTCTTGTGGGACAAAAATCCTGGAGTCACTTCGCCGATCTTGGTTTGGTGGTTACGTTTAATTGAGAAAGGGATAATGATTTCTAATAAAATTGGACGGGGCCGAAAGGGCAGCTCGGATAGCGGCAGCGGGGACGGGGGAGAGGTGCGAGAAGCTGGGCTCCAGGCGCGGCAGCCCGGGCCCTACGCAGTGCCGGGCTTTGTAGAAGGCATCTCGGGCGAGGAGGGAGCGAAGAGAGAGGAAGGGGAATGGGATGGGATTGGGCTGGAAGGGTGGGGGTGGGGGGTCGCTGGGGCAGGGGCGCGCGCGGGAGCGCAGGGAGGGTTTCCTGGGCTAGCAGGCAGGCGTGCGCTCTAGGAGCAAGTTCGCGGCTTGGAGAGGCCTTTATACCTGGGTCGGAGCGGCCGGCGGCGGGCTGTGGGCACAGGCGAGCAATTGGACTATTGTTGATATGCTAATGAGGCGATTAGGCTGTTGGTAAGGAGCTGGAAAAGGGAAAAGTTTCTACCATTAGAGGGAGATCTCCGAGCGCACACGGGAGCTGTTTCCCTTCTCTCCTCCTCCTCCTCCTCCTCTCCCTCCTCCTCCTCCTCCTCTCCCTCCTCCTCCTCCTCCTGCGCTCACCGCCGGCAGCTGGCACTTTGCGCTTACCCAGAGAGTAGCTCCACTTGGGTGCGAGACGGAGAGGGGTAAAGCCGTTCACGCCGATCCATGAAAATGCTTTGGAAATTGACGGATAATATTAAGTACGAGGACTGCGAGGTAAGCGCGGCGCCGGCTAAGTCATCCTTTTGGGCACAGGCTCGGAGCTCGACCCTCCCTCCTCTCCTTGCAGTCAGCTGCGAAGTGCGGGTGGGACAAACTTTCCCCAGAGCAGCGCCCGCCCCTCCGCACGCGGGGGAGAAGATGGAAAGGCAGGACGGACGTGGGTTCTCCCTCTTTTCGTTTCCCCCCTTCCAAGCCTACGTCCCACTTCACCCCCTTTTCTGACCCGTTTTGGCTGTGCCGAAGAGTGGGGCAAAGAGACAAGCATGGGGTTCGCTGGCAATTGGGCACGCGCCTGTGCACTCTGCGTGTCTCTACAGCGAGATTCTTAGGACCCATGTCGGCAGGAATCGAAAGGAAAAAGAAAAAACCCTTTTTCCCCTTCAACTTCCTCCCTGATCTTTAATATTCCTTCTTTTATTCATTCATTCTTTCTCCACCCTCCCACCCCCCTCCTAAAGAGGTTCTCTTCTCCCATTTGGAGAAGGGCCCACACACTTAGGTCTGGGCTGGGTTGCGCCTCCCTGTAAACGGGTTCAACTCGGGAGCACTTCTCTGGGCTGCGGGGCTTGCTAGATTCTCTTGTTTCAAGAAGTTTTAAGCAGCTTCTCCGTCTGAGCTACAGGGTCGACGCAGCCCGTAGGGTGGGTGGGGAGGAATGCGTTGCGTGGAGCTCTCCGGCCCCGGGATTTCCAAGTACCGGCCCCTGGACCGACCCCGCGCGACCGTGGGAATCCTGGCGCGGCTGCCGACCACCTCTGGTGCAGAGAGCCCGCAGGGGCGACAGGAGCGCCGCTTTGGAACCCATTTTAAAATCCAAGCTCCCCGGAGCTCGACTTCTTTGGGCAACAAGGGAGGCCCTAGCGCGACCCTTCTGCCCGCGAGAGGGGCTAGGTACCGGCCTGGCGGCCACTGCCTCAACCTCCCTTTACAACCTCCACTGAAAAATGAGTCGGGGGGGGGGAGGGGAAGAGGCCGGTGATTACCTAAATAAGTGGCAGTCCCGAGTTTTGCTATTTTTAAAAAAAATCTTTTCCTTTTTGGCATTTGGAGCTGGGAGTGTCGGGCAGAGAGATCTGTGTGCGGGCGCCGCAGCGGGGGTCTCCACTTGAAACCAGAAACTGGGTTTATGTGAACGATGTGCCACCCGCTCCCTCCTCCTTTCTTTCTGAAGACTATTTTAAAGCTTTCTTCTCTCAGCCCCCCTCCCCTTTGCCTCCCCACGCCCCACCCCGGTGGATGGGGCACAGGGTGACATCCCACTGGTACCGGCGCGTCTCTGGGGCTCCTGTCGCACTCGAGGAGGGGCGCAGGGACCCCACGTAAGACTAGTCGCTAAGGTTTTGAGGCTGGCGGTGGGAGGCCTTAGCGGGCAGGTCGGAATGAAAGCGAGCCCCGCCTAGGACGGTTCCTATTGTACCCGTCTGGGCTCTGGTCACCGGCTCGGGCGCTTCACTTTTCGCGGAGGCCGAACCCCAACTCCAGGTGCGGGCGCCGTCGGCGGGCGGGGTCCGGGCCTCCTTGCAGCTCTAGGCGCCGAAGGGACAAGAGGCGTGGGATGAACTGCACCCCCAGGGGGCCCTTGTGGGGGTGCGTGTAAATGTGTGTAAGGAAGGAAGGCAAAAATAAAAAAAAATAAAAAAAATAAACGAGAGGGAGAAGAGACTAGATAAAGTCAAGGCTTTTGAACAACTTTGGCAGCGGCGGGCGAGCGCCGGAGAGGGGATTTCGGGTTTCCAAGCCAGCGTGGGGCCGTCTGATTATACCGAGGCTCTGCACGGACACGCAGGAGGCGAGGTGCCCTTGTTCCGACAGCCCGACGGGCAGGCTGGCAGCGGCGGCGTGCCGCGAGAGCTAGCCGTGTCATCTGGGGGGGCGTCGGGCGGGAGCGGCCCAGCCAGTCGGACGGGTTTGTGCGGGGAGCCGGGAGCCCGTGCCAGCGGCGCCCGGGCTGGGCCGCCTCGCGTCTGTGCGCGCCGGGGGCCGCGTCCCGGCTCCCCCTCTCGGAGCTCTGGCCCCGGACAGCCGAGGACAGAGTGGCACCGCCGCGGAGCGCACGGCCC